TGCATTAATTAATTTTTCCCAGCTTCTTGCACGTGGCTGTAAACTGGGATGTTATAAAGCTGGTGCACACAGGCAGGCTGAGATCCCCTCCTGTGACATGACCATCAGCATCTATTTAACGCTGGTTGGTGGGTTCCCATGAAGTGCTGGTTGTTAAATTTTAAATACTACTCCCAGGCGTAATATCTTATAGGTCTATGTAGTGAAACCCATTTAATTATGCTGTTTTTATTACAATATTTTACTACCTAAAGAATAACTATCTGCTATTTTTGTTACATGAAAAAACAACAGTTCTCTGTGTAACTCATCTTCTCAAACAGCGTTTCTTTAGTTACTGCTTCATGCTCTTCTGTAAGAAGTTCTGTGCGGTTCATTCAAACTTGCGTTCTCATTTAGTCTTAGCAAGCAGGCTGTGAATGACTAGCCTCACTGTACAAATTCGAAAGTTTAATATAAATCACTTAACTTTTCATATCATGTATCTCCTTAACTTAGCCCCATTATATAGACTTAAACTAAAACTGACAAAATTTAAGTAAAATCTGCTTAAGGTCACACAACTGGGATTGAACCCAGGATTCAATCTCAGACGTTTTGACCACAGCCTCTGTGCAATCCTGGTCCTTTAGAACAGCTTGCGAGACATTCTAATGCTTGAATCCATACGGCCAGGACTATCCTGCGTTCTTGGCATAATTAAATCACTTAGGTAAGTGTTACCTGTCTCTCTGTTTTGTAGATGTGGTAATTGAGTGCCCTCTCCTTAGGGACTATCGCTCCGTATCGCAGGAGACGCAGCCCCACCCTCTGTGACGCCCTCAGGACTCTAGGACCCCAGGATGAAGTGCCTGGAAAAGCACTCAGTTTCAGGTTCACGTACAGTTAACCTGGTCCAGAAAGAATGCTTTGCCCAAATGCCTGTGTGTTGGTGCATTAGAGAGGAGGGGACAGAGTGGGAAGACTCATTGTGCAGTGTTAAAATACCCATTTTCTGTGTTAGCTAAATGACTTAAATCAAGAGCAATATTGTAAAACAAACAAACAAAAGAAAAAAGGAGGGGGAGGGGAGAGCTCAGGGGTGGAGTGTGTGCATGGCATGCACAGGGTGCTGGGGTCAATGTCCAGCACCTCCATGAAAAATAGATAATAAATAAATAAACCTGATTACCTCCCGCCCCCAAAAAAAATCAAAAAAAAAAAAAGAACAGTGCTGCGCCTACACGTAAGACATTCTTGGCTAACTGGAATACTTCACTCCATGTAGTTTTGGTCTTAAAAAGAAACATGTAGCATTAGATCTGGATAATAAAATGGTAATGTTCAATAAACCCTTAGTGAGGTTACAATAGTTGTGGTCATTATGTCTAAGTGCGCTTTTAATAATTCAGAGACAAAAAGCCATGCAAATAGTTTCTTCTATGTGTTTAGTTCTTACCATCAATATGAGGCTGTATTTGCTATTCTGAAAGCGACAGAGGACCTAGTCCCAGAATTAAGTAGGTTCATCTGATCAGCAGAACCACCTGTGTGAGGTTCTCTGAATTTTGAGGATAATAATTTTACTTCATTAGCTGCCACTTTATTATAAGTAAACCTTAATTTTGCGTGTCTTCCAGATAATTTTAGGAAATAAAGGCGCTGCTTCTTAAGAGGCGATAGCTTTTGACAATGTGCGTTGAATTTCCACGTAGGGTAAGTCCTCTAAAAATGGGTGGGCTACGCGATTTCTCAGCTATTAGTAGCAAGACAGCCAAATAAACGAGTGAGACTTAGTTTCTGAGAATGTCACCATTTGTATCGTGTTGGAAGACCTTGGCATTGAGGTTTCAGAGGTTTCATTCTCCCCCAGGAGACGCACCTGTGAGAGTCTCCCGCCCTCTGGGATCCTCATGGAAGCAGCCTGACCAGAACAAAACTTTTGCTCCGTGACATTAATCAATTCAAAATTGACTTAATGGAATATCTGAATGTTTACTACCATATAATAAATTGAATATTATGACAATAACTGAACCATCTTGATATTCAACATCAACACTGAATATTTTACTGTGGTTGAATATTTACTACACACCTAGAGATATTAAACCATATAAGAACTTGCAGGGAAAGATGATAAACTTATACTAAGTGTGAAACCCTTTTAAAAATTGTTAGTAGAATAGGACTTAAGGAAAAAGTCATTGTCCAGTAGACTGGAATAGTTATTTCAAAACTGTCTAGTTGACACAGTTCTGATATGATTGCAACGGCAGCGTGGAGAGGGGATGTTCCAGGACAGAGAGAGGGAGGGAGCCGGGTGTGGCCGCTGAACCAGCAATCCGAGGAGTGTGCACAGAGCAGTGGGAGATGTTTATGCACAGAGCTTAGGCATCGGTTGTCCTTGAAGGAGCAGTGAGAACCTAGCTTGATTTGGGAGGCAAGACGGTGTCATTTTATATTTTTAGCAGGAGATAGAAATGAAAATCTTTAATGAACTACTAGATATCTAGGTATGTCTAGGAGAGAAATATTCAGACGTGCACTATAAGGAAGCTTCAGTATCCAGTCTGTTTTAGTTCGGGTGTCTACGAGACACAATTAGTTTTTGTTCAAAGGGTGTAACTCGTGATACATTTGTTTCTCAGCCACTGCAAGATTTGCTTTTTTGTTTTTGTTTGCGTGTTTGTTGCCAGCAAAGCAGTTCCATAAATGTTAGCAAAGGTAAGGAGGAAAAGATGGAGTGGTGCCCTGAATAATAATACTTTTTAAAAAGTGAGGATGACTCCAGTTCACTGGCTCATTTGCGTATTATTTGATGTAAAGAACTGTGTCGGGAACTTGATTCATTGGCAGTCCTGGATTACCAGTTCCATTCCCAGTCAAACCACCAATATTTAACGATGACTGATACTGGCACATTGATTGGCATTTTGTAAACATTTTGGCATCTACTAAGCTGCAGAAACAGAAACAAAATTACATTTGGAGAATTTGGAATTCAAATCTCAAGTGCTCTTACCAACACACTGTTCTCGTTCAATCACTTACCCAGTATGCAAAGTCATTTTTATGTCTATATTTAAATTAAAAAAAAACAAAGCCACCCTATTTAATAGTAATTGTAATATTTTTTCCAACTCATTCTGGAAGGTCATTTAATCCGTATGCTCCTTTAAAGGTATTCTTTATTTGATGGATTAACTGTACTTTCCAAACCACTGCAATTTATCAGGTTCTAAGTGCTTTTTACATTTCCTACTAAGGCATTTTGCAGCTGCTCTAATCTATTTGCAGAAAACTCCTTTCTGTTCTGTGTACACATTCTGACAACATTCATTATCTGCTTAACAGACCTTATCAGTTCTGCAAAAGCCATTATGGCTGACTACAGTAATTCAAATTTAGTTCCTTACTGAAAAGCAGATCTCTGCAATAGTATATGGGATCGTTAAATTTTACATGATAAAAGGTTTACACCGTGTTGAAAGCAGGAGCCAAATAAAATGTTAAGCATGACACTTTTCAAAATGACTGCCTACTGGATCTGCATCTTTCCTGCTCTTTAGTACTTTGTTTTTCAAAATGACTGTTACATCTTTTTTACTCATTAACCAGGGACTTCACAGGCATATCAAGTAGAGGGAAGAAGAAACTCTTCCTCTGAGGACTGGGGCTGGGAGGGAGGGCATGGACAGTCCGAGGAATCCCGGGCTCAAGTTACTCATCTTTGCCATACTTTTGATTTTCAAGACGAGCGTTTTTAAAAAAATGATTCCTCTAGGAATGTTAAAATATATTGTGACCTTATGCAAAGTATTTTCCTAACAATTTTGGTTAATACAGAAAATACATTTAAAGAAAGAAACTTTGTTTAAAAAAAAACCCTGCAATATGCAGTTTTGATGGTGAAAAATTAATGATAACATGACTGATCATTAATAAAACTTTCCTGTTGATTAACCACTGTAAATTCTGTGTTTTGTGCCTGATGTTTTTCTAGAATGCCTATCTGTTAAAGGGTCATAGAACCATTATTGAAAGAAACACTAAAATTGCATCTTATAAGATATGTGGGATGATTACAAAGGTAAAAACAGAAATTACTTTAAAGTGTTGTCCGTAAACTGTAACTCCTAATGTCGTACTACTCCACAGAGTCATTATTCTAAACATCTTACTACTCTGATAATGAAAGAAATGTATTTTTTCTAATATTGAAATCATATCTAACGTTATGCTTTGCTATATTAAACTCTCCTCTAATTCTCATATTTCTGCAGCCAAATTATATACTTCTGAAAGTTCTTATTTTACTTCCCAGTGCCCTAAACGTGGCAACCTGGAGCTCATGGACCATTGTACCTAAAGTTAGTAGAATGTGTGAAATATATGCAAAGTAGGTTAAAGTAGTATGTAAGTTAAATATTGATGAGAATAATACATATTTTTCTTACGTTGTTCAGGATAGATTTTCCCTTGTTCTGAAATTTCATAACATTCTTTGCATCTTTCATATGCTTAAACAATATCATAGGGTTTTGTTTAATATATATCTCCTTCATTAATATTTTGTAAGTGTATACTTCCCAAAAATATTTCAATATTTCCATTAAACTAAAATTTTTGCACAGTACAATTAAATGTACATTTACAGAATTTCAGTGTAAGGCATTATGTTATGCATGTGGTAGGCACTTATGTTTTGCTAAATGAATGCACCAAGTTAAAAAAAAAGAACTCATATGGATAATGTACTTCATTTTTATGATGGAAAACCTTGTGTGCCTGTTTTATAAGCTGCTCACGTCAAGGGGAATGCCGGCTCTGTTAGTAACACAAGAAATAATTACCCCTACGGCAACACTTCTGAGAATAGAATGTCGTTTCATCATTTACCTCAGTTTGACGGCGAATTATCATACTAATCTTTTTGTTTTTAGATTTTGCAGTGCGAGTGATTTATAACTGAGCCCCAGGTAAAACTTTTTTCCTTGCCTTTTTCTTCTCCTTTGTAGCTCCCTGCGAAGGCAATACATTCTTCTGCCACAGTAACATGTGTATTAACAACACATTGGTCTGCAATGGACTCCAGAACTGTGTGTACCCTTGGGACGAAAATCATTGTAAAGGTAATGATTAGCCCCCGAAATTTGCAAAATCCCTCTACCTGTAGCGTGGGAAGAAGTTTATCCGATGTTTCTCTGTTGTAGACAGTGTTAACAATCGGCTGTACATTGCCTTTTCTGAACTTCCTGTATGTCTTATAACTGATCTGTAAGCCTCTTCCTTGCTTCTGCCTGTGATGTAACCAGAAGGTTCCACATTCATTAGTGCACAGTGGACCATCCTTAACACTTGGTGCTCACTGGAGAGTCTCCTTGTTGGAGCCTGCAGGACCATGGACAGGGCCGCGGCGCTTTTCACGCAATGCAGGCTTTCCTATCGGAAGCCCCTTCACCTGTGGCTGTATTTCTCGCTCAATTCCAGTCTGTCTTCACCTGACGTTGTGCACATAGTCTAGAGATAAGGTGCAAAGGAACGTTACAGCTTTCGAGTACCTGAAACCACTTACCTTGACTTCAGTCTTCCCACCAAAATGCTTTTCGTCTTTTCCAGTGCGAATGGCTCCCAACGTGCCAGATCCCTTCTGTAGCCTGTAGAAAAAGGTTTGTTTATGTAGAGAGAAACCCTTGGTTTGGTTATGAATGTTGCATATTTTGGTTAAGTTCAGAGCGCCACGTGTCCTCTTGTTCAGATCCAGTATTAACCAATTTGCAAAGGAAAAGAAACTGGCAAATAACTCTTCATGCTTCAAGTCCAACATCTTTTACTAAAATGCCCTCTGTGGACAGAAGCCGAGAGCATTGCCACAGGACCCATGGTTCACAGAGTCAGTAAGAAGAGCAGATCCAGTGGCAGCTGTTCTGAGGGGGAATGTGGGCAGTGATGCATGCTGTGTCCAATGAACCACTGGGAATGGATCGGAAATTGGATAGTTTGTGAAGAGTCTGAATGCAGGCTGTTCATGGTCAGTTGTCACAGTCAGTTTT